CAATCTTGTTATTTGAAGACGTGAAAGTCCTAGGTGTGTGGAAACTGTATGTTCTAAAAGCTATGCTATGCTGTGCTATGCTATGCTATGCTATATAACTATGCTATTAATTTGCACGCGAAAGTTCTTACTTCTCCGGAATATCCTTCTTTACTTAGGAATCGCGCATTTAAGGTGAAAACGCGACCCATAGCAACAATATTTGCCCAACGCTTTGGAACCTTTGCATTTCCTTTCATTTACAACAGAATTGCAAAAATATGCGACATTAAAGAGAGCTCTATTCACAAAGCGAAGAGGATTATTAGGTCACATATCCAGTCTTGGAACTATGAACTTACTGAAAGCTTCCTAAGAGTCGTTTGGTTAGTGGGTTCAACTTCAACTTCAACTTTTGTGTCTATGGCTCCGTCGTTTTGCGCGACTATTTTGCCAATGTCAGGGTTGAAAGACATGTGTAGCGGTGGTGAGATAGATTGCCGGTTATTAAAATACTTCGGCGGTTTTTATTCACAATGACGGTTATATATATATATTTTAATGACATTACAAAAAGGTTAGTGGGTTGATTGTGGTTTTAGTTGTTGCCATTCATTGTTTTGACAGGAGTTGTCAAGTTGGAGTGACTGCTTGTTGGGGTGGCTATTGGTTATTATAAAATATAAATATTTCTTTTTGTAATAATATGTTGATCACAATTATTTTAAACTGCACACGCAACATGCTATTTTACTTAAATAGAATCTATTATAATTCCTATTTTTATGTTGGATTTAATAGATATATAAGTTCTAATGTAATGAGTAACGCAACGTGTAACGCTGTGCAATGCCGGGATTAATAAATTGAAACCGTAACCGGGTCGCCACAGGACAGGCTTAGCCTAGTGTGGGACCACCTGTAATGATTCACAATGTTTTCGGGCATGGCATCACGTTATCAACGCGTGTTTTTGTTAATGTTAACACATACTTAATGTTAATTTAGCATTGTTCTTTTCTCTAAAAATGTAAATATGTTAAGTATTTTGTTTTTCTTTGTGTTTGTGATACCAAAAAAAACATATTCTTATAATTATTAATACAAAGATCGAACACTCAGAAAAAATCCCTTCGATCCGGTCGGATTCGAACCGACGTCTTCTTGCATACCGTGCCAGACGCTATACCAACGAATTTTTTCTGAGTGTTTTTTCTGAGTGTTCGATCTTTGTATTAATAATTATAACAAACTAGTGGAGTAATTTCACAAAAAAATAATTGAATATCAATTCAATAAAAATTTAATTGAACATATTCTTATTCTTATTCTTATGTTATGAATACATTGACAAGATACCTACAAGTAACAGCTGTGCTTCCATTTCGACATCAACAAATACACTGAGCTGCTGAGCTAGACGCCTTAACAAGGATAATAAAGGATATGGTTCTTTGAAGTCTAATCTATGTCATCCCAACAACGAGGTCGGTGTAAATTTAAAAATCCATATAAAAGGGTCACTTAATCACGGTTTCAGAGCCTGTACCTTGAGTGGTGTCGCTAGAGGTCGCTTAAAATATTTACAATTTAAGCCCAAGAAGTAACATTTTAAGTACCAATATTTTATCATCACACCAACGCATACATATTATGTGTGTCTTTTACCTTACAGTGGTAATGGGCGAATATTTAAGGTATTCCAATGTGAAAGATATGCAGCAAATACTGCGTAGCAAAATAATTCCTATAAATAAGTTGGGGAATTAATTTCTTAGGCAAGCCAATAGGAATAATGTTATATAGACCCTTTGCCGTTGATACTTTTTTTTAATAAAATCTAAGTGCGCATTTGACCTCCATCTCACGATGACGATGAGGTCGAAGTCTGCAGGCAGGGAATTCCACTCCATAGCCGTTCGCCATATAAATGTGGAAGCATAACGCTTCGTGCGAATCTTTGGAATTTCCATGACATAGGGGTAGAATCCAAGCTTACACCTAGTCCCCGGTGATGGAAAGGGGAAGGCCGAATTAAATCGTGTAATTCCATCGCATACTCTCCGTGATAGATAAATCCTGATAACTTCCTAGTAGCTTGTTTTTAAACTTGAATTGCAACTTATGAAAGAAATACTCAGTCTAGGCTGAGTGGCGCACAAGTGCGTTTTCCAGTTTAAGGGTCGTATTCCAGAACTCTACTCAATGCTCAAATCAGGACTTGAGTATGATTTCAAGCACTTGAAATACGACCCTAAGGACTTGAGTATGATTTATAGTGCTTTAAATCATACTCAAGTCCTGACTTGAGTATATGAGTCTGGAATACGACCCTGAGAATGAAAAAGTAACAGAAAGGATATAAAAAGACAAAACTCATAGTGGGGATCCCTAAAGTTTAAGTAAAGTTTAAGAATTATTCAACTTTGGTATATTTTAGACTACTTTCTAGATACTAATGGGTAGAAAACTTCATTATTTACTTATTAGCTATCTCGACCCTGATTACCTTCTACGTGACGTTACAAAGAACACCTTGTACGTTACTCGTTATTATGTAACGTAAAAGCGTTCTATGGCTTCCTTCAAGAGACGGCGTAAATGTAGGTGACCGGGTTCATGACCATGCCACCTGCCGGGGCGGCGGCGAGCCGGCAACCTCGAGGTCAAGGACGCAAGGACGCCGTCAGGACGGAGGTATTGAGCACGCTCAATTTCAAGGACACAACATTTATTTTTAGATGCAAAAGGATCGCGATAAACGTACTGTTTTAAGTTTGTCCTATAAGAAGGTTTGTAACGTTTATTATACAATAAAATAAAATTTACGCCTTCTACGCCGAAGTTATGCAATGAAAAAAAAAATAACAAACTTGACATAGGCGTCGTCGCTCGATACAGTTTCTGATGCTCTTGGAGCTCATCCAGCTCCCGCCGCGATCGTAAAAAAAGAGCCGACAACGTTCTAATTTTAAATTTTTCCCTCCTTTTTTTATGATAACGACGCCTGCAACGCATGGTGCGTCACAAAATTATCGTTTCAAAATCGATCGATTATAATCTAAAAAGTTTTATTAAAAATTAATTACAAACCTTTATTAGTTGTTAAATCGGTCAGTGGTTAGAAATCTAAATTTATTTAGATTTCTATGGTTCTCACACTTTTTATTATATTATCTTCCCCAACACACTGAAGTTGAAGAAAAATTTTAATAAAATCACAAATGCAATAAAATTAAGTATCGTTACTATAAAGATTGGACGAAGTTCAAAGACAAATAATAATTAATAATTTGCATGCGATTATTTTCAGCAATTACTTCGGCAATAATCCTTGATTTGTCATGAAATAGTCACCGAGATAATCGTTTAAATGACAATTTGAGTCGATAGATAGTTCTTAATCTGGCGAGTACTGCGGGAGCGATTCGGCTTTGGACAACCAGGCATTAGCAAGGCCAAGGTTGAAGGAAGGGCTGCGGTGCGGGCGAGGGGCGTCGCGGCGGGCTTAACGCTCCGCGCGCTCCCGCACTGATCATTCTGCACCAAGCAGTTGACTCTGACGGTTGTACAAGCGAAAGGTAAGCGGTGGCCATTTTAAACTTTAGTCTCTTGTCTCGATAAAATCTGTTATGTCGCCGCCGCTTGATCGGGTCGTGATATCACCTAAGTTTAATCATTTGGTACTTCTTATCTATTGTGTGACAACTTAAACCATTTCAAGATGTGCTACGACAACTCACTTGTGATATTTTATCGATAAAGTATGTATTACCCTCCGGCAATAAGTGCTGGAAATTCTGCATTCCAACTTCTCTCGCGAAAATAGCCGGTAGCATTTAACGAGTGAAGTTCAAAAAGTTTCGAAGAGATTCCCGAAGGGCGGGAAGCGTGAGCCCGCGTGCGTGCTGCGTGCCGCGTGTCGCGCATCGATCGAACTACCCCTCACCCTCGGCACTCCCGGTTCTGATAAATTCATTTGAGCAAAATATCATTCCATCCTTGCATTTTAGTGTCCTCCATTCCTTTTATTTATTTGCTGTAGTTTTTGTGATTTAGTGCATGTTATAGCGACTAGTTTTGTAATCAATATATCTGTGAAAATGGGTGGCTGTGCAACGAAAGAAAACAAGGAAAGTAAGCCGGCTGATGAAGCCGACGGGTGCGTATCTCGAGCCGGCGATTCATCTACGGTGTCCAATCTCTCTCAGTGCAATTCTGTTCTGTTTCGCTTAAGATTAAAAACTGACGATATTTAGGTTTTTCTTTTAAAATGAGTATGAATGTGTACTAAGTATCGTGTCAGTAATAACCTAGTACAAGACTTACAGACTAAGTACTAGTTTCATTAATTCTCGGCGTAGTGATTTTGGTGACTTTTGAAATTCCAGTTACAAAATTTCTAATTTATATTTAATACAAAAAGCTAATTTGTATGTTATAATAGGTGCAAGTCATGAAATACAATAAAGATGACAAAGCATGAGCCTGTGGCTCATTGAAATACATAAAATTGTCTTAGCATACTTTTGTGATAGACCTTATTGAATTAAAATTAATCTATTGTAATAGTAATTGCAAAAAACGAGTGCAAGAAGGTAATGAAACTGTTATTTTTGGTGGCTTATATTCACGACACTAATTAATGCGTACTACCGGTGCTGCACTGTGCCCGGTATTGTGTTAAGCAGTAACTGATGTGATTCTTAGAACGATAAGTTGGTTCTGTAATCTGACAATACTTAATTGCTATGGTGGCTTCTCCAATGGAAATGAATGCAATAAGAAACAAGAAACTCGCGATAACACGTTCGTTCGCTGGCGATGAGTGGGAGGCACGGCTGCGCGCGTCGGAGCAACACCGGTGCGCAGTGAGCTGACACATCCGTTCGACTTGCGCGTGTCGGTCAAGGCGACCTCTTGCTAAATTACGTAATTCCACCACAAAATCCAGTATATCTTGGGTGTGTTCTTCAAAACAATTCCATACCTGACGTTCCACGCGTAACAGTTACCTTCCCCGTAGAGTCTGGACCTCTGAAATCAAAAAGTGGCTTTTTGTAATCCGCCGTCATGAATTATAAGCTCAAAATCACAATTCCTGTGGTGGTTTGCGGCGGTGCAGTACTCGCGTATTACCTCATCAGGCGGTTCGTAGTTAATTTTATTGAAGTAACTTTTGTAGTCTTAATTAAATAATTGTAGCCGAATTCGTTCGCAATTTTTAAAACAATGTTTCACGTGTATGGAAAAACACATAGTTTTACATTTTGATGTAAACTATTTTATATGACTCAGACTTTATAACATTACTTGCATTTTTTTTGTAAGAGACGAAAATGTGGACTCAAGAAATAATGGGTACGTCACTATTTTTTGAAATTTAAAAAAAATACGGACTTCGAAAATTTATTCGCGTTGGCGGCGGGCGATTACTATAATAGTGGGATTTCTATTAGTTTTTGGACTTTGAATTTAAATATCTAACAGAAAATGTGTACCCGGGCAACATGTGCAGCGCTAAAAGCGTTAGAGGCTTTCAGTTTTGTTTCCAGTTGTTGGATACTGTGAAATATTGTGTTCAAAGTTTAATTATTGTTTGCAGAAAAGCCGCAGCAATGGTGGACGCCGCAACCCTCGAGAAATTGGAGGCTGGCTTCAGCAAGCTGGCCGCCTCTGACTCTAAGTCGCTGCTGAAGAAGTACCTTACCAGGGAGGTGTTCGACGCCCTTAAGAACAAGAAGACCTCCTTTGGCTCAACTCTCTTGGATTGTATTCAGTCGGGTGAGTGTTAAAACCCCTAACTCGAATAAAGAAGAATATTACCTATATATAATTTAAAACTACAATAACCATCTACTTTGAGTAAGTGCAAAGTAAGTAGGTACCTGCAGTAATTGCTCGACCCCCCTGAATTCATTGTACGTAGTTCAACCAACCATTGCAAGCAAACGATCTGTGAACCATCCTGCTGCAAAAGTCAATTGCAAAAAAAGTTGTGGTAAAGTGGACCATAAGCTTTGACAATAAGGTTGGAAATACAATAAAAAAAAAATATTTTATTCATCTGAGTGTCTTATAGGCCAGTTTATGATTATTAATGGACATTGTTCATTTGTAGATTATCTCAAGCTATATGTATCATATAGATAAGATTATATAATTTCATATGTCATTCTTTATCAAGGAGTTGTCTAACTCCTTGATAAATTACAAGTACAAGTATAATGTAGAATTAGTGTACAGTTATGTGACAATGGCAATTCTTTGTACATTACCTGTTTTTGTAAAGTCTTGGTACATGACCTAGGTTGAGAAGAAAATGTATGAGCTTTCTGAGTTTTAGCCAATTGAAAGTAAAGTTTTAAGGGAGCAAATACAAAATTGCACTTTTTAGGCCTTCTCTTAATAAAATTGCTTTTATTTCTTTCCAGGTGTTGAGAACTTGGACTCTGGTGTTGGAATCTATGCCCCTGATGCTGAGGCATACTCTGTGTTCGCTGACCTCTTTGATCCCATAATTGAGGACTACCACAATGGCTTCAAGAAAACCGACAAGCATCCACCTAAGAACTGGGGAGATGTTGAGACTCTTGGCAACTTGGACCCGGCCAGCGAGTTTATTGTATCCACTCGTGTGCGCTGCGGCAGATCCATGGAGGGCTACCCATTCAACCCTTGCCTTACGGAAGCTCAATACAAGGAAATGGAAGACAAGGTTTCTTCCACCCTCTCTGGTCTTGAAGGTGAACTCAAGGGCACTTTCTACCCCCTCACTGGCATGTCTAAGGAAACCCAACAGCAGCTGATTGATGACCACTTCCTCTTTAAGGAGGGTGACCGCTTCCTCCAGGCTGCTAACGCCTGCCGCTTCTGGCCTACTGGACGTGGTATCTACCACAACGAGAATAAGACCTTCCTGGTCTGGTGTAATGAAGAAGATCACCTCCGTCTTATCTCCATGCAGATGGGTGGAGACTTGAAACAGGTATATAAGAGGCTCGTGACTGCTGTGAACGACATTGAGAAGAGGATTCCGTTCTCACACCACGATCGCCTAGGCTTCCTTACTTTCTGCCCCACCAACCTCGGCACGACTGTCCGCGCATCCGTGCACATCAAGCTGCCCAAACTGGCCGCCGACAAGGCCAAGCTGGAAGAGGTTGCCTCCAAGTACCACTTGCAAGTACGCGGCACTCGCGGAGAACACACCGAAGCCGAGGGCGGCGTCTATGACATCTCCAACAAGAGGCGCATGGGCCTCACTGAGTACGACGCCGTCAAGGAGATGTACGATGGCATCGCTGAACTGATCAAAATCGAGAAGTCCCTGTAAGCTATCGATCTCGCTATCAGTATTTTTTGTATTATTTATCGTTTTCGCGTAAGTATTGGATGTTGGTAGTGCTGCGGCCGCGGCAGGCGGCGGCCGCGGTGCCGACTAGTCAGCGAAGCCCCGCGTGGGCAGCAGGTCACGCGGGTGGCCCACTATACTGTTTTTCGTAAAAATATTTTCTATAAGGAAATGGAAAATAAAGACAGCTAGTGTTAAGACCAAACTTTGTTTAAATACCTACCTACCTACTTCCTTCCTTCCTTCCTTTTCAGCATATCTCTATACCAAGCCTACAAATAAAATACTTATTTAACAAATAAAAACAAAGCAGCAGGGCTAGCACGACAGGGCGGGACTAGCGCGAGAGCGGCCTATAGCGCAAAATCTATATGCGAGAATAGTAGCATCTCGCGCTAGTCCCGCCCTGTCGTGCTTGCCCTACGGATAGTGCCGTTAGTTGACATCATAGATATAGATAAAAAGGAGAAATATGTAATGACGCCAATGTAGTACCGATGTCGCCACTTTTTAGCTTGTGTGCAATTCAAACTTTACGCTCTATTATCTACTACCATAACTTAAAGATTTTGATTGGGTAGGGCTTAAAACGTGAAAACGACGTAAAACAATTTTAAAATTGAACAAAATTAAACTTAGTCACTTGAATATGAGTTATATTTGAGTATTTTTTTCATCCTGGTTCAGCCATTCACTAACAGGTGGTGTTTTAGGAAAAATACTACTAGTATATAATAGCTAAGTATTACACGTTAGATGGCGCTGAAACTCATTTTTCGTTACACTAAGAACTCACGGAGCGGTTTTCACCCGCGTCTGTCGCGGGACCGCGGCATCTGTAGGATGTAACAGTAAGTATGTAAAATTAGTAGCACATTCACGGCGCGTTTTACACCTGTAGTGGTGACGGTTGATTGTTAACCTTAAACTGACGCTCAACGAGAGATGTGGTCCTACCTAATCGATAGTTGGAAACCATGTGGCTGTTTTTAATATTAAAAAAAATATTCCATTTTTCATACTATATCTACACTGGTACTGGTGTATTATTAAATTAATATATTAATATAAATTATTATTATTTTCTTAATGGCGGCCACTAGGCTTGGACCAGAGTGTCAGTTTTGTAAGAATAATATAAAAAATATGGCGATAGTCGCCAGTGTCAATTTTCCATTATACGTTACCACGGGTTGCTGAAGCTGTCACTGTCAAGAATAAATTCGAACCATCAATGAATTTAATAAATTAAATTCATTGACTTACAAATAAATGGACGACGGGTCTAATACAAAAACCACGAAAAAAATGTCCCAAGTCAACCTATTCGAAATTTAAATTGTTATGTCATCGCAGTATCGCGCTGTCCGTAGAACAAATGAAGACTAAAGCGGAGTGTCGCGCTCTGTATACGATTTTAGCGCCTTACAAGTGCGGACACTTTTTAGCGCGGACCCGACGTCCATATAATTGTAAGTCAATGATTAAATTATGTTGTTTTTTATGAAGGATTTATGTAATTTTCTATAATTATTTCTAATTTATTTTGCATGCACATGTAAAATAAAGCTGATTATTTTATTTATTTTGTAAATGTATTTGCTATGGAAATTGAAAAAAAGTCGGAAATAGTAATAAGAAAACCAATCTTTCGAGTTTTCTTGCAGCTTCAATCCAACCTTCGTTTATTTTAAACTCATTGGAAAAAATTAAAAATACTCTACGTTTAATCTTCGACTATAATGGATTTAAATATCTAAAACACATACATTTTTCTTCAATATGGTCATTTTGACCATATCGAGGCGCCACGAACCACGCCGCCATACCATATCTCCCCTTTTTTTCTATGTCTATGGCTGACATAATAGACAAGTGAAGTATAAGTAGCTATTGTAAAAATATTTTACGTGAGATAGATAAATTTAGATGAAATAATGAATAAGCTTCAGATTTGAACATTATTTATTAACATTTCTTATCATATATCGTTTATACTAATTAAGAGAACGCGGAGACATATCACCAGAGACGAAACGGAAGCATGCTTAAAGTTACCATCAGAAGTTACGAATATTTCGAATTGAAGTGACTGGTTTTCATAGACGTAAACTAATTAATAATTTACCATAGACTACTCAAGTATTCGTCTATGGTTTTTCGTCTTATGGTATGATCGGATCACATTTAAAACATATTCTCATTGACTTACAAATAAATGGACGACGACGGGTCTAATACAAAAACCACGAAAAAATGTCCCAAGTCAACCTATTCGAAATTTAAATTGTTATGTCATCGCAGTATCGCGCTGTCCGTAGAACAAATGAAGTCTAAAGCGGAGTGTCGCGCTCTGTATACGATTTTAGCGCCTTACAAGTGCGGACACTTTTTAGCGCGGACCCGACGTCCATATAATTGTAAGTCAATGCATATTCTACATAGTTGCAATTTCTGTATCTACACAAGTACAGAAATAGAATATTAATTGTTAGGACGTCCCAATAGAGGAGGCTGAGATTTTCAAATGCACCAACAACACACAGAACATGATGACAAAAGTAATCGACACCAACATTAATGAATTACACTTTATTGAGTTTCTTACATAGTACCTAATATCATTATTCTTAATCTTTACATTACACTTTAACACCGGTCGATGGAGGCGGTCCACTTGAATGAGTAAAATAAATGCGAATATTGGGACGTTCTATTACATGTCAAACATGAAACTTTGGACTTTGAATCATTCTTGTCGCAAACAAAATAGAGTTGAATTTAAATCTTAATTGTCAAATTTGATAAGATCTTCGAACTTTTTACATCGCAAATTCATGATCTTCAATTCGAAACAGCAGAAAATGTAGCCACTACTGCGCTTTGCGCTAAAAGTGGACGGGCGGTAATATCACACAGAAAGGATCTATCACCGATAAAATACATGAAACTCATAAATAACAGACAGGCACATACCTACTTACAATAAGTACCTACTAGTCTTGGATTATATTAATTTTACAATTCTTACCATAATGTTTACCTACTTATCTTATAGTTTACAACCATAAGAGATTCGGTATTGTTTCGTAGTAGGTACTCGAGTTATCTTAATTTTTGTCACAAATTTAAATTTACATACGACTTATTACCCTATGAACGCTGTTTAATTTAGATTTTATAAAAATCCGCCGAAAATAGATTATACAATAAATATATTTATTACTTAATACCTAAAATCGTCTATTCGTGGACTTCGAACGCAATGTGGGTTCGTCTCAAAGGATTTAGTGTTTACACCTTTACCTTAAGCTCGAAACACAGAATTTTGTATACTTAAGTAAACATACGTTGATTGAAATGCATTTAATCGTTTTGGTTCTTTGTAACTCGATATACGTACCGTGTTATGTTTAAGGTTATTTGTGTGCTTATTCAGGATGTAATACCTTCTCTTTATAGGTAGGTAATGTACCTGTACTGTTATACATTACCTATTAATATTAAGTTTTTATCCCTGTTGTGAATTATTATCATTGTTATTATTATTTATATTCAAAGTGGCAAATTCATTGTCAGTCCCTAGAAGCCATTTTTCATGAACTAATTTTACGTGTCTGTTAAGGCACGTTTTACGGACAAAGCCCTTTTGGCACCACACACATATATATTTTTTAATGCCTTTGTGTACATATTGAATATGTTGATTTAAACAAGACGTCGTTCCGAATGTTTTGCCACAAATATGACAATCGTACAACCTTACTTTGAAATGATAGATATCTTCATGCGTGCGAACGTAATTCTTGCTTAGTTTTTTGTGACAGACTTTGCAACAAATTCTATTATTCAGTTTTTTCTTTTGCTTTGATAGTGGCGGCGGTTTCTTACATTCTACACCAATGTCAATGTCCGCAAAAGGACACTCATGTTGGTCTAAGTCAAAACTCAAAATAAACCTCATGTTGCAAGTTCTACATACGAAACACTGATTTCCTTCATGAGTCAATTCATGAAAACGTAGTTCGTTTTCATTAGGTAACTTCTTGTTGCATGATCTACACCGATTGTCATTTTTACCGTGATATTCCAATCGATGTACTTTTAAATTGAATTGACTTTTAAAGCGTTGTTCGCAAATGTTGCAACCAAAAGGCTTTGCTCCAGTGTGAACTCTTTGATGGTTCCGTAAGGTAGATTTTCGAGCGAATTTCTTATTGCATATTTGACAAGTGTAATTCTTCCTTTTGTAGTGCCAATCTCGAATATGTTGGAATAAATTTGATTTCGACGAGTAGTTCCTGTAGCATGCGCTAAATACACAAGGAAAACGATCATCATTATTGCGAGATTTATGTTTAATGGAAACTTTACCAGGAAGAATATTTTGCTTAGTCACAGGAGAAAATTCTCTATATGGACCTTTTGGAGTTTCGAATAGTAGTTCTGATGTTTCTTCCTCTGATTCTTCCTTTTTTATCACAAATGGTAGGGGCTCATCAATATTCACCGAAACTTCAACTTCCGCGCCAATAAAGTCATCCAAGTCGCTGACGTAGTGTTTCGCTTCACTTTTATAAAACTTAATCGTAGGTGTAGGAAACAGATCTTCGTCGGGGTTATACACCACGTAGACATCCGTGCCTAATCGGCTCAAATGTTGAGCTATTTCCAAAGCGTTAGACATTGTTGTTAAAGAAAGAAACCGCGACGGCACTACACGGATCGCCAGCTACAGGTGGGCGGGTGGCTGGTCACTCTGAAAATCAATATTGCAAGGCTTGACAGATGCACTATTGATTTTCCAGCTATCAGTTGAAAGCGTGGACTGTGATATATACTCGTCCTGCGTTAACAACGTTATAAACGGCGAAATAGAACATATTCGCTGTGATGAACCTATATGTTGATAACCTATGTTTATAGGAGAGGTTATATCTATAGGTACTTCTAGCGGGAAGGATAGTAATACTTGTAGGTATGTACTGGGAAACTGTTAATCTAAACATACCCACCAACATTTAAAGTATGAAATGGAGTAAGTAAAATATGGTATCAAGGGTACCTACGATACTCATTCAAAATTATTAATGGACGTAGTTTTTGTTTACTTAGTAGAAAGGTTTTCGTCACCTATGTTGTATTTTATTTCTATTACTATTATTTGCAAACATTAAATATTTAAAATCTTAATTGCCCTTGCGAGATAAATAAACTTTTTGTCCGCTGCAGATATAGATCAAAACAAAATTTAAACATTTCGCGCTAAGAATTTGCCGCCTTGCATTTATTCTTAAAGAATCATTATGTAAGAGCGAGATGCTAGTGGATATTTGTGTAAAAGTTTCGAGGATGGAAATAGTCTAAGAAAAATTTAGAAGCTCACATGTGCGAGCCATTGCAAAAAAACGCATTTTTGACACATTATTGAGTTATAAGACTTCAGTATTTGTATTGTAATTCTCCATAAATATGTATAGGTTATTTCCATTGACTTTATTTGTAAGTTATTTCGTTCAAGACGTCATGGGATTGTCAAACGGTTTCATGAAAATGATGTTCAACAATAATTAGTCAAACAGCTTTAATTTAGTTTCCTTAGAATAACAACGAACGAGATTAACAAAAATTGTCTAACACCATATAACATTCAACTGGGACTGTGCTTATAAAAACTATTGACAACAAAAAAATTACAGAAGTTTTATTTGTCATTTTTATTTCTGGTTCAAAACTTACTTCGTGGTATAATAAAAAACTTATTCCATGATATATTTGTTCTATATTTATACCATTTTGTTTATTTACATTTCATAATTCCTCGCCTGATCCCTTTTTCTCCAATTTTCAAGTCCCGTTTCCAAATTACATTCCATAAGTTCCCCGTTTCGAAGTCATTTTCGTTTTAGTAAAAACACTGCACGTCGCTAAAACGCTTACCGTGAAAAGCCAAGAGAAATAAGAAAAAAAGTTTCCCCGTTTGGCTAAAACGGTTACCGCGAAAAGCCAAGAGAAAAGGAAAAAAAAACTTTGAATTGTTTTCACAAATTGTTGTGATTTCGTTCAGCACGTAGCGTAGATCGACAAACTTCGTTTTAAATCGCAATGGCTACGCCGAAACCAGAAAAAGAACTGCATTTACCTTTATCTAGAGTGAAAACTATCATGAAAAGCTCCCCAGACGTGGATGCAGTCGGACCGGAGCCCTTGTATTTGGTCACTAAAGTCACAGTGAGTATGCCTATTGCGACGTATAAACGGTGTAATATTGTAGAATACTTATTTTTCTGACTTGCTGAGTGAGTACTTGAACTAATTCAAAATCATAAAATATATTGTTATAAGCTACTAAATAAATATAACCTATAAAAATATTTTACGCCAATTCCGACTTTTCCAGGAACTGTTTGTCACAGATCTTGCGAAACGCGCTCACAAGAACGTTAGAGGCAACTTATTAGAGTACAAACACATCGCAGAAGTGGTTCAAGAAGACGATACTTTGGATTTTCTTCGAGAAATAATGCCGCGAAAAATTACCGTTCGACAGTATAAAGAAATGATGGCGAAAAAGAACGCCAGAGGTGACCAATCGGACGATGAGTCTAGCGAGCAGTCAAGCGAGGAGGAAACCACCGAGGAAAGTTCCAGTACTGAACAGGAATGACAAAGGAAGAGACGGAGGCATTAGAACAATTATTGCAATTTATGTTGATTTACAATGATATTGAATAGCTGTTACGTTAAAAGATCTTTGAACTAAGTAGTCGTTACTTTTGCTGTTTTCTAAACATCTGTACTTATACCTCTACTTTACCATATTTATTCTAAAAGAATTACTATTCCTATGAAATTTGATGTAGTAAAATTACTGGTAGGCTAGATAGGCTACCAGTAATTAGAACAGATGTTCTAATTGTATCGATGGCGAAAGGATTCATTATCTGTGTAAAGTACTCTCCGATAGTCACCCAGGGTGCCGATTATCGCAAAGGAATGGTATGTCATGTGAGGAGGGTCCTTCTGTGCACCTGAAATCCTCCTTTCGTATCTGTTCCATAAATTGTATATTCTGATTTATGAACACTGGTTCATCACCATTCATATTATGAGAGATAAATGTGTTAAATGTCCAACTGTGTTTAAATATTACTGGTGGACATTACCGCATCATCAACCAGTGGCAGATTTGCCCTAAGGCCCAGTAGGCCCGGGCCTATCATAAAGAACCGTTTTAAATGTTTTATTTAAATCTGAAATGTCCGAAAATATTAAAAACTAGCAGTTTAGTTAACTAAATTTTTAATTGATTTCGATAAAACTTGGCAATAAAGTAAATTCATTATGTGGTCTGCCAGTATATGATGGGTGCTGAAAAAGGGGCGACAGGTACTGATTATATGGCCTGGGTACAAGACTGCAAATCCGCCACTGGACTCATCATAGACATGTATTTCACTAAAATGGTTGTCAATGGTCTACAATGCTTGCCCATTAACAAACTGGACTTGTTACTAAGTATCAAATCACTTAAATTATTAGTTTTATTTTGTCTTTTCAACTTATTAATGTACATCAGTTTGTGAAATTAATAAATGCACCAAGTATTACTTACTTGGTGCCTGTAATTATGTCTTGCAATGATTAAATAATATAATTTGATGCAACCTTTGTTTCAAAATGTATGGTAAGGGTTTACATTTGCCATAAGCATCCGTAATAAAGGTTTTTTTTTGTTTTATATGAAGTATCATCAGAACAGATTATGCTAAAGAGTGCTAACTATACTGTATATCACACTTCCATTATACATTCCATCAATTATATGTATTGTATTATTTACATATTATGTAGCATTAAAAATTTATATGAAGTGTAATTTTATTTTTTAATTGTTGCACAGGTGTCCTATTTTTTTCAATATTTATCATCGTCTCAATTATTACTATTACAATAATAAGTATATTAGCTGAATATTTGCTAAAATCATCTATATCTCAATTGAATCACTTTTAATTTGTTCTTTAACTAATTTTATTTTCAATTTAAAAAGCACACTTTTTCTTCATACTACGGATGGTTTTTATCACAGACCACATAATGGTTTTTACAATGTAGAATCTACCCTTTAAAATGAATTAATTACAAATAATATTAAAATTAATAAAGCGCCATCTATGGGCAGAGTTAAGAACTTCGGCGATATCTACCATTCGGAGTAGTCTTGGAATTACTACTAAAGAGAAACTTGAATGTAACGTGAACATGTTTTGTAACCAAGTGCCAGATGGCAGAACACGTAAATGTAAAATTTTCATGAAGTTGCTATGATTTGTGAATGAATGAATGAATGAATGAATGAATATACTTTATTGCACAGATAAACACACGAACATAAACACATGTACAGATAAACATACGCACAACAGGCGGCCTTATTGCTAAGTAGCAATTTCTTCCAGGCAACCTTAGGATAGGAAAAGTACTTAGAAGGGGGTGCAACCAAGATACTACCACAGCGATAGATTGAGAAACAATATTAATAAATACTAATAATAAATATAGTATATAATATAAATAAATACTAATAATAAACACAATAATATATCATTTTAAAGTAAATAAATAAAAATAATAAATACACAATGATATCAATGTAAATACATAAATAAATAATTATAAAAATATTTACTTATTATATTATGATGAAGGATTAAATAACAACAGAACAAGGACATTAAAGGCAGAAAGGGAAAGAAGTCACTGCTCAAGAAAGTGCTCCTTGACACGTCGTTTGAAAGTATGTAAAGAGGGGGATCGTCGAATATTTTCAGGGAGAGAATTCCACAATCGGATAGCAGAAACAGTGAAGGAGTTAGAGAAAAAATCAGAAGAATGGGAGGGCATTTCTAAAGAAAGGGTTTGAGAGGAGCGAAGTGGACGGTCAAGTGTAGAAGCGTGAAAGACGAAACGTTCTTTGAGGTAAGGAGGAGCAAAGGTGTCGTAAAGAATTGAAAAAAGGAGGGAAAGGACGTGAAGGTCTCTACGACGGTGGATTGGTAGCCATTTAAGTTGTTTGCGAAACTGGGAAACATGGTCAAATTTCCGGAGTCCGAAAATAAAGCGTATGCACATGTTTTGGAGCCGTTCCAATTTATTAAGAAGAGTGACTGTCAAATCAGGGTAGCAAACATCAGCATAGTCCAGTATCGGATGTAGGAGACTTTGAGCTAGGTTAATTTTGGTTTTAATTGGCAGGTAATTTCTTAATCTTCTCAGTGAGAAATGCGCATTAAACACCTTCCTGCTAACCTCAGCAACGTGCGGTTTCCATGAAAGAGATTTATCAAAAATAACCCCCAGATTCTTAACTGATTCCGAAATAGAAATCTGGACACCATCAAACATCACCGGTGGAAGCGAGCTATAATCGATTCTTGATGCAAACCACGGACTACCAATAACGATGCACTGAGTTTTGGACAGGTTAACCTTAAGTCCAAACGACTGACTCCAGAGAAGTATAGACTTAAGGTCGTTATTGGTAGCATTGACAGCAGATCTTATATTACTAAGAGACGACTGGGTGTAAATTTGCAAATCGTCCGCATAAAGATGATAGGAAGAAGTGATCGATTGAGAAATAGAATTGATAAAAATAGAAAATAAGAGAGGAGAAAGGACGCCGGCAGAGGTGCCACACCACTTAGAGAAGGAATCATCAAAAAGTATAATAGATAGATCATCATAAAGTATAATATAATAGTATAGTAGATTTGTGCCTATACATCTCCGCAAAAACCCTAATTTTTTAAGCCGCAGGTACTAAAAGCAACGTGAACATAAGTCTGTAGATAGATAGTTGGTGTGTGGTGGTAATTTTATCAACTTTCACGTAAGTTGATGAAAAATGCTGGGCATGTCTTCTTCTTTTTCAAACATTTTCAAAGAATTTTTGAACCATAGCTTGAACAATACAATCTCTGGTGCACAGGTTTTCGTAATATCTTTTACAACTATTAATATAAAGAGGAAAAAAAGCATTCCGCAATTACCAAATTCCTTCCTTCTGTCACAACCGGCGTCAAAACGATATAATCCTTTAATTCTGCCTTTCTCTAAAGTAGTGGTTACCAAACTTTGCCACACCGCCCTCTTAAAAAAAAAATAATTTCAACGCCCACTACCTACCACAAAAAATTATTGAAAACACGTATTTTTTATATCAACTTAACACAAAAAATCACAAGGAAAAAAATTGTATATAATGTACCTAATGTAGTTTATATAGACAATTCAGGTTTAATTTTTTCAAATGCCGTAGCATCCCCTGGACAGCATCAACGCCCCCCAATTGCTTCCAAGGCCCCTACCGCTCTCCTAGGACTCTTCTGCGCCCACTGCGGGGCTTTAGGGACCACTTTGGGAAACTATGCTCTAAAGCATTTACATTTTGGTAAACTTCGAGAATTCCAATTTTTTTCCTTAGAAAAATGTCAATTACGCTAATTTTGCCTAACTGAAACTTAAAAAAAAGCAGTATCGTACATTACGATATTAGTGCGTAAAGATGGTTATAACATGCGAGGCGGAGTTTTATTGAGCCGAGCATGTTATAACCAATACGCCCGTATATCGTACGACGTTTTTTAACACATTTGCGAGGAAACAGAAAAAAAACATTTTATATATTGCTCATCTTCATTATTGAAAGTTGTCATTTTTAGATATTCACAATACAAGTACAAAGAAAAGAAAATTTGAGAAAAATGGCGCGAGGATTATTTTCTACCGTGGCTGCGTGAAAATGTTGGCAAAGACGCTAGAGCATGCAGCCAAGTTTTTAAATTACCAAATAAACTGTTTTTTTTTTTAAATAAACTCAATCTGTGAATGCACACTGTTGCTTTCCCGCCATTTTAACAGCGCGCTAGCGCTGCCTACTGACTGGCGCCGCGCGGCGATTTGTTCGAAATTTGAATAGCAACAGCGCGCTGCTCACTAGCTGGAGTCGTGCGGCGGCGATCAGTCCCATATTTGAAATGGCAAATAATACTGTTATGGAATTTGTATGGACTATAACTTAACTATTTGCTTTGGTAACACACGCGTTTTTTATGACCCGCTTTACATATTTAAAACCGGTGGAATTACATCAGCTTTACGAGCAAGGGTGTTAAAAAAGACCTTTGTGAAAGAGTTCGTCCAGTGATGTACTGCCACTTTACATATTTCTGCCGCCAAGCAGTAACGTGAGCATTACCTCGTTCCGGTTTAGAAGAGTAAGGGTGCTGGTGAAATTACAGGCACATGGGACTTGTTAACTTTAACTTAGTCTCAGGGTGACCAGCGCAGTGGCATTGCCCTTAAGATCTTTACGATTTAAAGCTCTGAGTGGTACTGCAACTATAAGGGTGCATTTATTCGACATGAATTTCATCGTGCGCAACCCGCGCGGTCGCCGAGCGGAGTCCGCGTTCCGCCGCGCAGCCTTATGCATTGTAGTGTATGCCATCAATACGATAACAAAAAGTAGCTTTTGATATTTGTAATAGAACCCATTGACTTACAATTATATGGACGTCGGGTCCGCGCTAAAAAGTGTCCGCACTTGTAAGGCGCTAAAATCGTATACAGAACGCGACACTCCGCTTTAGTCTTCATTTGTTCTACGGACAGCGCGATACTGCGATGACATAACAATTTAAATTTCGAATAGGTTGACTTGGGACATTTTTTTCGTGGTTTTTGTATTAGATCCGTCGTCCATTTATTTGTAAGTCAATGATAGAACCTAATAAATAAGTAGATAGTTATAACAATTAACCTTACAACTAAGACATTAACTAGTACATTATTCTTATTTTTATGGTTAAAATAAGTGCACATTTGACCTCCATCTCACCTGATGGAAAGTGACGAAGAAGTTGACGATGGTGCAAGCTGCACACCTAAACAATGCCCATTCACTCTCGTTTTGAAAAGCTCAAGTTTAGCGTTCAGTACAAATCTGCGGACAGCAAATTTCACTCCAACGACAACCTTATACTTAAATGTTAAAGCGTATTTTTTCAGTAGATAGAGGACCTATTTCTTTATAAGGAGGAATATTTCGGTAGTTACAAGTTCATTAAATGAAGGAAAAACACAAGCTAATACGCAAACAGTAAATGTGGTGACGTTTCTTTATTTAGGCACATACGTATGATGTCATGTAATAAAAACCACCAAAAAGATAAAAAGAGTTGATGATATTGACCTAATAGTTCCGAATTTTTGCAGTTGCACATTTAACTTGGTATTTAATGAGGGCAAGAGCATTGCATAAGCAGGTCACTAAATTATAAAAAAAAATATATTATTTTGAAGGTGAATTCACAAGGTCAAAAGAGAGTTTGTTTCATTTCTATTTTAATAGTCACCGAAATATTATTTGGGAATATGAATGGCATCAGCTAGAAAAGCTTGCCTTTTTTTATTTTAATATGTTAATAAAAAAACTAAAACGTCTGATTTTGCAAAAAAAAACATGTGTACGGTGTAAATGAATAAATACGTCCTCATAGATTTTTATATATAATATCAAGTCACGGGACAAACAAGTAGTGCGCCTGGTGGTAAGCGACACGCCTATCCATAACAGTTGCAGTGCTAAGTTTTAAACCACAAAGATCTGCGGGCCACTGCCGCTGCGCACGTCACCCTGACACCTGTAATTTTACTAGCACGCATCTTCGAAACCGGAACACAGTAGGTAATGCTCATAATGACCGGGCACGGCTGCTTCGGTCACTACCTGCACAAGGTG